TGAATAAATGGATAAAGAAAAAAAAAAGATTAGATAAGAAAATGTCACACACCAAAACTCATGAGATAAGGCTACAAATATTGACTTCTATTGATCCTGTCAAATTATCTAAATGAATATATTTTTAGCACCTCACAAAGATTTGTTTCTCTTGGATATGACTAACTGCTGCAAAGAAAATTAACTTGACGCAGAGTAATCTGTGTTTCCCACAAATCTAAAACGTAAATTTGTGATGTTTCCTGCTCCAATTGTTACAACATACTGGAGATTTAGCAGAAAGAAGTTGACTTTTAACCTCAAAAGTTTTGCATCATTTGCATACATAAGTGCTTTGCTTTAGTTAAAAAACAAATCTTTGCAGAAACCACTTACTTGTAGAAAACAGTTTCTACAAGTTTTGGGCTGTAGAAAACAACCAAATATTCATGGATAATTAACATATATGCAGTTGACAAGAGGACATATAATATACGAAAAACAGAGTAACACTTATCTATTCTGTGCTAACAGTTAACTAATATTAATTCTTTACTGTTGGGTTGAATGTTTTCCTCCTACCAATATTACAGCAGAGTAGTCAGCATTTCAATGTAATCTGCACTACAATGCCCTATGTTAATGCAGGGAGATACTTCAAAAACAGAACAACATGTTAATGGTCCCTCTCATATAACTCCTGGGCCTAACAATTAGGTAGGCACTTTTATTAGCAGTTAAGTGCAGAAATATACCATTTAAAAATCCTACAACCTTTGTTCTGGATTTTAGGTGAATTGACTTAAACAAAATGTTTCTTTACTAATCCCTTTTGAAATCTTGCTTGTCTGTTGTAAATAGCATTTTTATTCTCTGGTCTGTTGTCTGAAGTATAAGCTAAATAGGACACCTTATTTTACTATTTTTTAAAAAAATATATTTTAAGATAAGATAATACCTACTAGACTTCTTTTTTTTTTTAATCTCTCCTCAATGCCTTATGTGCTGCATATGCAGCACTGAAAATGGTAGCTAGAAATGAAGGTACTTACCTTAGTATGAATGTGGTTAAACTGAATTGTTTTAGTTAAAAAGCTGGATTTAATACTTTGATTTCTTGATTAACCCTGAAAAAAACAGCTGAAAATAGAGCACTGCCTATCAACCCCGGGAAGACTCTATGAACATCAACTGTTTATCCGAACAGCCATGCTCTTGCAAAGGGGACTAACCAGTCCTATTTTCGTTGCTTTATAAAGTGTCACTGCTGGCTTCACTCTTCACATATTTTCTTTGGTTGTGTTCTGCACAAAATACACAAATGGCAGCCTTTTTTTTTTTTTTTAATAAAGGTGTCTGTTTGTTGTTTGTTTTCTAGATGCCCTTTTCTGTAATGAAGTTTACCCTGCACTTACATATGCACCGCTGGTGCTGCTAGTAGCCAGGGTGATGACAAGAAGCCTCAAGCCCATCTCTTCAGCGTGGTCGCGATGTGGTAAACGCACTACAAAGGCGGCTCGCTCAGCGCTGGCCTTTTCATAGCTGGGGAAGCCTCTGCTTCTGCAGCCTGAGAGGGGGATGCTGGGGAGAGGGACGTGGCCGGCACTCGGGCCCCGTCCGTCCGTCTGTCCATGCAGGCAGGGACAGTTGGCACGTGGGGGTCGGGACCTGGCAGGGCAGCTACGCACCTCACTAAACTTGCCCTGCAGTTCCCAGCGGGGAGGGGAAGACATTTTTGACAACCCATTTCATGCTCTAAGGAGAAAGGGAACCAACTTCAAGGCATATGCTGCCTTGGAGAGGTTAATGTATATTGAACTTCTAGGGGTTACATATTTCCCTCTCTTTCATAAATGATTATTTTGGTTAATGATTATTATGAGGGTTTTTTTTCTCTTCTTGATTCTTTATTCTTTTAAGCTTTCTTGACTGTGCCCCCTGCAGTCCTGTTCTCTCTTATATTATTCACTGTCTTGTCTCTACTACACGAATCTATGATCAGTTTAGTTCTCCAAACAGTTACCCAGGGTAGGACAGCCCACTGCTCTGAGGGGTACAGAGTCCTTCACTAAATTATATTGAGAACAGTTTTTTCCAAACCATCAAGAGAAAGAACAAGTTTCTGAATTCAAGTCTGTTTAATTTCCTCGCAGCCTTCCTTTATCATTTCCTATTCAGTTTTGTTACATATTGGAATATGGAAAACCTCCCATAGGAAACATTTGCCTTCATGTCAAAGGAAGTACAAAATCAAAACAAATTTCTCTGGTATTGTGATTTTCAATACAGTAAGTTCACTAGCACAGACCGAGAAATTCTAGTTTCATCATATCAATACAGTCTTCCAGTTACATTCTCCATTCTGAGAAATTATGTTGCAAATTTGCTACGGAATAAGATAACAAAAGTGCAGGGGAAAAAGTTTCAGAGGAAAAAAAATCTTTACCATGATTTGTAGTATTAATATTAGCTTTACATTGAAATACAAGTCTGATTGGTGAAGAACAAAATTCTTTTCTTTGTGTAGGCTCAGGATGATTGTTAATAATACATTGACTTCTAGGTATTTATAACTGATGCAAGTTTTTGAGAATTTTTAAAAAAGCAACTTCTATTGTGAGATTCCACGTTTTAGTTGTTCTTTTGTTTGTTCTGTTCCAGCATAAGGAATTTCTTCTTCGTTATCTGCATAATTAGTCCAGTGAGTAGTGACTGATTTAGCTTCCTAAATGTAAAAAACAAATAGAAGTACTGCATTGAAAAATTCAGGCACGTACTTTAATATAAGCAGCCCTGAACAAGAGATTTATCATCATTTTAGTTACAGTAGCTTATTATAAAATAATTTAGTACTTTGCTACAAATAATGTTAGAAATTAAAATTTGGGTCATCCTACATCTTCTGATAAGGAGTTGATAGGATTTTTATTTCCTTACTTAAGTACATGGGAAAGTGTAATATTTGCCAAAAATATATTTTCACACAACACATTTAATTTGACCAGGAAAAATCGAGACAAAACAAAAATAAAACCCCATTTTTAAGTCAAATCTGAGTCCAAATTTTTCAGTGGGTTGAGCGGGTCTAAATATCAGGAGCCAAGTCCAACACCTGCCCCTCTATGAGACACATTCCGCCTCTACCGTGGCGTATGCGGCGAGGCACCAGTGCTGCCTCGGCTGGGCTGTGTGTCCCGTACCAATGTGTGATGCTGGATGTGGGAGTCTGACACGGGTAATCTGAGATGGTGATTTCATGTGAATTCCAAGTTCCACGAGCCAGAAGGACAACCTTAGACTATACGTTAGCAGTGAATTAACCCAGAGCATTTTATGTCATCCCAGCAAACTGAAATAACACATTTTAAGCCAGGAACATCAATGTTTTAGTTGATCTGTTCATTTATGCGAAAGGTAGCTTTGCTTCTGTCAGACTGAGTCAGAGTTCAAAATCTGCATTCTCATTTTTCATCAGATCTAATTCTGATGCTGCAAAAGCTACATTATTGTCATGTCTTAACAGAATTTTAACTCAAAAACATGAGACAAACCATTAAAATTCACCTTAAAAAGGAAGACATCCTATATTCTCTTGCTGCAGTGGTTGATGCTGCTTTTTAGAATAAAAGTGTTTCTTTATATGTACAATCATGTCACTGTACAGAAGTAAATAAGAGGAGCCCTCTTTTTAAGTACTATTTCCTCTATGGTTAAAATTTTAGACAAGGCAAGTAGAAAATAGGTATTTACCTTTAACGGAAGTAAGACTAACAGTTGCAAGAAGTAGAGTCGCTGACCTTTCTAGGTATCCATGTACTTCTAAGGTTATTAAACTATTTTATAACTAGGTCTCTGAAAAACTGTACTTCTACAGTTCCTAACAGTCTCTTTTAGGGAGATGGTACCCATAACGATACATGCATGTCTATACACAGCAAAAATAGAGTTGGAGGCTTGGTCATTGTGTTAAGATTTGAGAGCAAATTCAAACGCAAATCTCTTCAGCAGTTCAGAAATTGGACAAAGCTTGCAATCTTGGTACCTGATGCACCCAGGTTCTATGGGACTGAGTAGGAGGACATAAAATTAATGATAACCAACGTACCAGCACTGGATGATTCAGAGCCAGCTCTTCCAGGCTTAGAGGCACAGTCATTTTATGTGGGGCTAAAGCGCTGCCACTGCATTTCCAAATCTCTGGACTAAAAGATACATCAAAACATTTTCTCTGAAAATCAATTCAACGGACTCAATTTTGTCCACAGCATAGAGCTATGTTTACAAGATAATTGAATTAGACACCAATTTTCTTTTTTTTTTTTTTACACTTAAAACATCTCTTCTTAGGTAGTATAATTTTGCACCTTCTCCCCCACAATCGAAGATAAACTATTGGTAAAATGTTAACTTCAGAGCAGCAAAATAAATTTATCTACAAATGAAATGTCAAAATGTTGTTTGAATGTATTTCTGCAGGCAGAGAGACTTAAAATCAGTTTCTTTTAACAGTACCATAGTTGGCACAAACGGCACACATCCCTGGAAGGTAAATATGTGACTTGTTCTGCTTGAAGAAATCTGGCTTCAAAATAACAAACTTATGGACTTTTTAAAACATGCATCCTGGTTTGCCCAGCAGGTTTTTCTTAACTTCAGAAGAAAACACCAGGATGTGATGTTCTGAATATTCACTTTCAGTATATTTGACAGCTCACACCTACTTGTATTTGAATGTGTGATTACTTTAAGAACTGCATTGTTCTTAATCACAGTTACAAAAGGAAAAAGGGGTTGGAGATCTTACTGTTATTATAAAACAAGTTTCTGCTTTCAGTCTGCATGAGAGAATACAGGCATTTTACTCACAGGAACTATTATTATTCCTGTAGAAATAACCATTAGATAGCCTTCAAGAATAGGAGTGGTCTAAGAAACAGTGATTCCAACAATAATGT